ATAAAAACGAACCGTATTCCAGGCCAGGTCTAACGTACATGTTGAAAAGGCGCATTCTAATGTCCCTAGTTTTAAAGTTTCGGAGGATAAACCCGGTCGTTCTACATGCTTTGGAGACTATCAAGGCACAGTGCTCAGAGAGATTGAGACTCTTGGAGTATGATACGCCCAAATCCTTAATAACCCCAGGCACATTTATGGCGTGGCCTTCAATACTTAGTTGAGTTTGGCGGTCGTCGCCAACCACCATGACTGAGCACTTATGCCAAGAAAGAGAAAGGCACCATGTGCGGCACCACTGGGCGAAAGCCTGTAGATCGCTCTTTAGGAGCTCAAGCACGATGTCATTATCTGCCGGCTTATATCGATATGCAAGTTTAAGGTCATCGGCATACATGAAAGGCTTACCATTCTGAAATAAATCGGGTACATCATTAACGAAAAGACAAAATAAAAGTGGGCCGAGTACACTACCCTGAATGACTCCACTCCTCACACGTATGGGGTTGGAGATGGTATTGGAAATCTTAACTCGTTCTGTTCGAGTTCCCAGGTAAGAGGATATAAAATTCAGAAGTTTGCCACCTATTCCGAAAGAGGACAGTTTCAAGAGAAGAAGAGCATGGTCAACACGATCAAAAGTCTTAGTGAAATCGAAATATACTGTGTAAAGTGCAAAACCATTGTCCCTAGATTGGAGAACATAGTCAAAGAAAGAGAGTTGACAGGTGTCACAAGATCGAGCTTTGAGGAATCCATGCTGAGCAGCACTCAGCAAGTTATTCACTGTTAAGTGACACATCATCCTATCTTTGATCAATGTCCCTAAGATCTTCGAAACTGCGGGGAGGGTGTTTATTGGCCGAAAGTCATCAAATGACGTGGATTTGCCGTGCTTTGGAATGGGCAAAATGTGTGATTCCTTCCACAAGGTAGGATAAGTTTCACTTTCAAGAGCGAGATTCAATATCTTGCATAAGAGGGATGGGAAAATCGCATTTGCATCGGCTTTTAAAATGCTTACTGGGACACCATCAAGTCCTGGACTATAAGATTTACGAAAACGCCGAATCGCAACAGTCACATCCCACAGAGTGAAAGTTATAGTTTCTAGAACTGCCCCGGTCAAGGACTGGATGGTCGGAAGCGGAGTGGTCGAGTCTTCAATAAACGTTTTGGACAGGAAATCATTGATGCTATCCGCGGTTAACTGGGCATCAACTATGGGATTTCCGAGAGCGTCTCGGAGGATGGGTTGCTGCGTCTTTCTATGAGTTCGTATTTTTCTAGAGAAAAATTTCGAGACATTTAACGAATGGTTTTCGGTAAACTGGACCTCTTCGGCTAGCTGATTTTCTTCAGACAATCTCTTAGCTCGATTAAAAATATCACAAATCAAGGGCAGAACAGAAACATCGTTCTGAAGATAGAAACGACGATAAAGCCTGCGCAATCTGCAACGAAAGGGTAAGGGTAGGAAAACCTCATCCCCAACATTTATAATTTTCTTACGGGGGACAAAACGAGAAATAAGCGGATCCAAAATTTCGTTCAGATTTGCAGTGCAAACATTTACATCCGAATGCCCTTCCCGCAGATGTTGTGCTGCCCGCCTTGATGGCAAGATTAATAGTGAATTCCAGCAGATTCTTATTTCAAAATAAGTTGGAAAGAAAGGAGGTTGAACTCATCACTGAAAGATAAAGAATTCGATTTGAGTTAGTCCAATACCGTTTTTCGGGACACTAACCATAGTTTGGCTTTGCAAATAGGGTGCTCAAGGGTTAAACGTGGATTTTCCCCCCAGCAAACCGAGCTGAACATTCTGTCAGCCTCCTCAACACCAAGCATTCCAATTAATTAGATTTTGACTTCTTCCGTGTTTCGTTCTCGCAGATCCCCGAAGATTAATGTTCCAATAGACTAGAGAGCTCGAGTTTGATTGTGAAATCCTGTACCTGAAGTTAAGAATCACGGATTTCGTTGTGCAATGTACGCCTGGATCAATATGCAAGGAAGCTTTGGAACTTGAACTTTGTGTGTTTAAATGCGTGGGCGCGCGTCATTCAGAGTTGGAGACTTGACATTGGCGTAGGATGATCCCGATCCACGGTGTCCGCATTCCTCTCTGTCAGACCAGTTTTAGTCTTCCTCAGCAGTCAAACTTAACGTATTTGACAGCCTCCGGGGAGGTTTATAACTCATATGCCCGCCACGCTATGACCTCTGAGCGTAAGCG